ATATATATATATATATATATATATATATATATATATATATATATATATATATATATATATATAGTTGAAGTCAGAATTATTTCTGTTCAACTGAGAGTTTTTTTTTCTCAACACATTTCTAAACATAATAGTTTTAATAACTCATTTCTCATAACTGATTTATTTTATCTATGTCATGATGACAGAACATAATATTTTACTAGATATTTTTCTAGACACTTTTATACAGCTTAAAGTGACATTTAAAGGCTTAACTAGGTTAATTAGGTTAACTAGGCAGGTTGGGGTAATTAGGCAAGTTATTGTATAACGATGGTTTATTCTGTAGACTATCAAGAAATATATAGCTAAAAGAGGTTATTAGATTTGACCTTAAAATTACTTTTTTTTAAAGTAAAAACTGCTTTTATTCTAGCCAAAATAAAACAAATAAGACTTTCTCCAGAAGGGAAAATATATAATTAGGAAAAATACAATTAAAGGGGGTGAACAATTCTGACTTCAATATTTCTACTCTACCAAACTTGATACAACTACAACTCTACAACTAGATAACACAAATTGTATTGCAACTAGAAATAATTTACCAATTTAGTAGACAATATCAGATATTTATTGTTAAGACGCGTGTATACAAATGTTTGATAATTGAATAAACAGTTTTGAGTGTGATGGCTTACACCAGGCATGTCCAGACTCTGTCCTGGGTGGCTGGTGTCCTGCAAAGTTTAGTTCCAACCCCAATCAGACACACCTGGGCTAGCTAATCAAGCTCTAACTAGCCATTCTAGAAACATCTTTGCAGGTGTGTTAAAGCAAGTTAGAGCTAAAATTTGCAGGATGCCAGCCCTCCGGGACCGAGTTTAGACACCCTTGGCTTACACAATAAAAAAATGATTAAGAAGTTGTGTAGAGTTTGACAGTTTAGTTGATCAACAAACCCTATGCAATTAGTTTGTCCAAACTACAGACAATTGTAGTTACTGTCTGCACACATGTGCCAAAGCATCTGAAATTTGCTTAAATCAGTAAGAAATGCCACTCTGAAGTGCAATAAGTGAATTGTTCAGAGAAAAATTGCAATTTAAAATCAAGCCAAAGCAATTGAGAAAAACTG